TTAAGAAACTATTTCAATATGATTGGCTTTTGTTGGTTCTCATACTCAAACATGCATGGAAACCACTTACAGAAACTAGAACCAGGCCACTTGGGCCACATTCCCAAGTTTCCTAACTCAGCAGGTCTAAGATGGATTTGGCGTCTAAGATGGATTTGAGGTCTGAGACAGATTCTGACAGGTTCTCAGGAAATGCTGATGCTGACCTGGGGAACCACACTAGCTTTGGGTGTAAGAATAGGTAGGGCTTTAACATTCAAAAATAGCTGTTGAATCAGCTCATGTTAGTGACTAGAGTAAGATTTTCAGGTCTCTAATCTGAGGAAGACATCTGATGGGCTCCTAGGGACAAATACAAGGGAATCTACAGGGAAAAGACACTAGTATCTGCTATCTTTGTGTAATGCCCACAAGGTCACTTATATTAAATGGATACCTTGCCCAAACCACTGGAAGATCTATTTCTCTTTCTAGTTCCACTAAAACTTTTTTTATAAAATTCTTTTTTAATTTGTCACTGAACAACTCAGAGCAGTTCTCCAGCAGATGAAAATTTTATCAAAAGCACCTCAGCTCTACTCTACAGACAATCACCTGTTCCCTCTTTCAGAGTAGCTGAATAGATGCAAATATATTTTGGCACTCAAGCATAGCACATTCAAATGCACCTAAGTGTGAATTTCCCAGATGCAGTTTCTGTAGCACTTCTAAAATGAGAGATGGATGTTCACTGGAAGTGATAAACCAGCTAGCAGACTAAAGGACTTCACTGATATGAATGGAAAAATTAACAACCGTCAGCTTTAAAATAACATATTACAGTAAAAATAAATAATTAAAACAAGGGATTTGTTCCCAGCAACTGGAGGACAAATGCTGAAATAGCTGTTGAATTACAATGTACTTGATTGTTGTACCTTTTCATAGTAGGTATATGGAGAAAGGAAAAATATAGGGTTTAAACCTCCATCATGAAGAGCTCCAAGTCTGAGAGTAAAACATGGTGAATCAAATTCATATTTTTCTCTTTATATGGAATTTTTCTATGGACTCTGATTATGGGATTATGGCTCTGAGGTGAGCCAAACTTTGGAGAAAACATCAATAGAGAGACTGGTTAGGTATAATGCTATTTTTCCTATGTACTCAAAAAGGACAAGGAGAAAAGCATCCTATGGCCAGGCTTTGGCAACACAGAGGAGTAATATGTCATTCAGTCCAAGTTCGCAGCATTAGCAAGTGCTCTTCATTTTAGTGAAATGAAATGGTTTATGAATCTGGAAGAAGACAGTTTACAGACATCAGTGCAAAACTTGCCCCTAGTTGTGACAATCTGTTAAATTAGATAAACCTCTTACTTGACATTAACGTGTGTTAAGTAATCTAGATAAAGAAGTGGTAATTACTACTTCTGGTTTTTAATGGGACAGCTCAACTAACACATTTCTAAATGAGAGTAATTTACTAAGGAAGACATCTGAATATCAAATATTAGCATATCCTGGAAATTGGTAGTAGAACTAGATGTTGCTGGTAATACAAGGCATATGAGGAAGCCAGTTAATTGTGGAATCAACATAGCTAGAAATCATTGTAACTTTCATCTGCGTTTTCTGTTCCTGCTATTTTTTCCTTCTATAAAAGGAAAATGCTATTTTGACCATGGATCCAATTAATGGGCCAGACACTAGCGAGGTCAATTCTAAGTACCAAGACACAGTGGGTAAAGAAGAGTCCTATGCTAATGACCACTTCAATGAACCAACTCTGAGATTAGGACAATAAACGTGGGAGGCCAGGATGGATGGATTTCATAGTCCTCAGGGACTTGGGTACAATTCATATCTGGCCTGGAAAGCCAAAGAGATAAAGCAGCACAGACATATGATTTAAGTTTCAGAGGGACAAAGCATGCATGTAACCATGAGTGGTCATGAACAGTGTGCTGTAATTTTTTGGTGCAGTCTTCTGTTCTAATATGGCAGCTACACAGCTACTCCAGGGTCCATTTCTAAAAGTTTGGCTTTCATCTGTTAAATCAGCAGATCTGACTTTGTAGAAATTACCTAGGCAAGAGAGTATGACTGTAAATAATGCTATAAATAATTTACATTTTTTTTCATGGGGAAAAGTCAAAATATGGTTTTGAGTATAAAAATCCTATTGTGTTTAATCCAGTTCCACATTTATTCTAAAGAAGTCTGTACACTTTTCCACTTTAGCCTTTTTTCCTTAGTAAAATCTTAGATATAGGTGATAATCTATATGTAGGGTTGCAAACCCTACTAACTCTTACCCCTCCCTCTCCAGCAGCCACTCTGCTTCAGGCCCACTCACATCTTCATTTATACTGTACACCGTCTTAATCACAAACAACAGAAAATGTCATTTTGTGTTTTAAAACTATGCCCCAATTCTCACGGTGATAGTCCTCAAATATCAAGATAGATTAGGTGAAGGATTCGAATCCTTAATTTCTGGAAGATTGTTGATATTTTCCCCCAGTTAGGGTCTTTCACTGTTAAAGTTTGTGTAAGTAAAACAAGAAAGTTACAATCTTGCTCTGCTCATGTACTCCCTTGAATCACAAAGTTATCTTGCATTTCACTGCCCTAAAACTTGTTAATGACATTTATACTCAGTGCACAACATTTTAACACCTTGGAATAAAGCATTTTTATGTCAATTTCTTTAAGAGTGATATTGAGAAAGCTGCTCAGCAGTACAGCAAAATACCAGAGGAACTCAAGCCCATCTGATCTGAAAACCATGGCACCATGGTAATAAAACAATTAAGAGCATCCCTCAGGGAAAGACAAGTCCAATAATTAACCTTTGATGCCAAGTAGTGCTACCACTTTCTTAGCATAAGTCATATCTATGATAGTAAGATCAAAATGTAGTTCTAACTCGAGCCACTAAACTGAATACATATATTCTTTATATGAACTTTCCAATTAGGCAAAAGTTTAAAATACTTAGTAAAAATATTGCATGGGTGATGCAGTATTTATCTACTGAGCTTTAATCCACAAGATAATTAGAGACATAAGTAATTTCTTCAAACTAAATAAACTAGAAATCCTTTTTTTTTTTTTTTAAATGAGGAGTGAAGAGGGTAAAAAGATAATCCCCAAACTACCTGTCAAGTTCCAGGCATACCCATATTAAACATTACATACCCTATAAGGAACCAAGGCTCTTTGGAGATCTGGCTGATTCCAGGAAGAGCATAGAAAGTACAAGATGAACTTGGAATATAATGTGTAAGAAAGTAAGCAAGGGCTCACAGAAGGAAGATAAGCTTGAAGGACACAGCTTGAAGGAACTCTAATTGGCCAAATTTGGGACAATTTGAACATGAAAATAAATAATGGTAAAAGATACAGAGCCGACTGCATAAATAGTAAGCTATGCATTCATAGATGATTTAAATAAATAAATGAATAAGTAAAGGGCAAGAACAGAAAGCTTTTATTATAGAAAAAAGCCAATTGATAAATGTAGACGAAATAATAAAACCACCTTCTGGCAACAATCAAAATAGTAACTCAGAAAAAGAATAACATATGAATTCTAAAGCCAATGGGTAAAAAAGTATGACAAAGAACATTTACGATCTCACTTCACAATATGTTTTTTTAACAAGAAAGCGGGTGAAGAGTAGCTTCACAGTGGCAAAGCCTGGCCAGCTCTGCCTCAACCAGGGGGCACAGTAAGTAAATGAGAATCATGTGATGGGACAAGAAAGACATAGCTATCAGTTCTCTGATGTTCACATACATACATACACAATGAATCAATCAGTGGATTACGATAAACTATCGGATAAATACTACATCTATGTAAGGGGACTCTACAATGTATCTGGTCTGCACTTTTCCAAACTGCCTCAGTCATAAAGTCCAAAAAAGACCAAGCAACTGTTCCAGACTGAAAGAGCCTGGAAAGATGTGTCAACAAGATTCAAATCATAATGCTGGACTGATACGGGACACTTTTGAGACAAATGAAAAAACATGAGTAGGCTCCCAGGATTGGTGATGATGGGAATATACTAACCTGAGTTTCGTAACTTGGGTATTGCACTGTAGTTATAAAGGAAAACATGACTTTGTAAAGAAAATATACAGTGACATATTCAGGAATGATGGAGCAACACTACAGTTAGGATCTTGAATGTCCTCCAAAAGCCCATGTGTCGAAGGCCTGGCTCCAGGATGGCATGAATGGGAGGTGGCAGAACTCTTTTAAGAGATGGGCCTGGTGGCAGATGTTCAGAGAGAGAGTGCGCCCTTGGACAGGACAGAATTTGAGCCCCTTCCTTTCCTCTCTTTTATTTCCTGGCATGAGGGAAGTAGTTTTACTCTGCTGGGATCAAGATGTGCTGCTTCTCCACAGACCCCATCTAATCAGTTGATTGTGGGTGGGAACCTCCAAAACTATGAGCCAAAATAAAGCTTTTCTCTTTACAAGTCTTTGCAAGTCGAGTATCTTCCATGATTGTCATGGTGGTAGAAAGGTAACACAGACACTTATTTTCAAATGGTTCTGTAATTAAAAGGTTGTATTCCATTCTTGCATGTTTTTTCTAACATTGAAATTATTTTCAAAGATAAAAAAGACACAACACCAAATTCTCTATGTGTAACTATTCATAAAAGCATAAATAATGTAAATAAAAATCTTAAAAGAAACCCTTCTGAAGTATTGCATTTGAGAAATAAATTTTAACTTAAAAAAATCCCTTGATGTCATTTTCCATAACAGCAATAACTTTTAAGATGACTGCATGTATGTTCATGTTTAATTCAACAAGAAAATGAATATTTTAAAAAAGCCCTCCAGTAAAACAAGAGAAAATAGCATAATAAACCAAACGGTCTTCACCTTTTTAGACCTAATCAGTAGTTCATTCTAAGATGTACCTGTTCTCACACTGCCTCACTGTCTTGTTTTCTTGAATACATAAAGAACTCTGAAAACCAAGGACCAGATACCTTGATTTAGGTGTGTGGCCTCCATGATCTGGACACCATTCACGGAGCATTGAGACCCACTCAGGGGTATCAGAGTCACTGTTCCTCCAGTGTTTTCGAAGACACAATGTTCACTCTCTAAATCAAGGCCATGGAGAACTAAATTGGAAAAACAAAGAAGAAAGATTTTATTGACCCCTTTGGTATCTACCACTCTGGTGTCCAATCATTTGGCTATTGATTTTTATATCTGGAACACTCTCTTTTCTACAAAAGGATTGTGGAGTGAACATTTATGCTTATTAAAATGTAGGACTTCTGACAAAATGGAGGTACCATTAGACTGCCAGCTCAGTGTCCAGACAGCATCTTCATAAGAAAACAAGTTCTGGGACATCCATTTATTTTTCCCTCAGGGAGAGAAGAGTCAAGTAACCTGTCTGAACTGAGTGCCACTGAGCTGCTCTGTTCGATTCTAAATAAATTTCTTCTAGAAACCACCCAAAGCCCACAGAAAAATGGAAGAGCAAAAGGGCTCTGTGGGTCTAGGACTTAGAATGACCTCCATACTAACAGATAACATATCCAGGGACAAAAGCTAGAGGCAAATTTGACCTGGCAAGGATCTCAGGAGGATCAAGAAGTCTGCAGAAGCTGTGCCAGAGGCCCTTGGCCACAACCTGTGTCAATTCTGAACCCCTTGCAGCACATGGTCGCTAAGATTTACCAAATCATGACTAATGTTACTCTTGCCTGAGGAATGACCAGGCACAGATTAAGTGTATGGTTTGAGGCAAAGTTGTTAGCCAGTAACTCAGGTATACAGACCAAGCAGCTCCACTCCCTCTAAAAAGTATACTACTGAACTTCTCTGGGCACAAAGAATATAGAACATGTGTTCTTACCAGTGGTCATCCTTTACAGCTACCCTGAAGGTCAGATGCATAACTCAGCCAGAGGCCTGCTGCCAAGGCCTACTCAATAACACTTGAACCTGGGGACTTCTGGAGTTGGTTTTCAGCTCTCCCAGGCTATCCACAGTAAATAGAGAATACACATAGGAACATGCTGGGATTGGCTTAATAGCTTATATTTGGCAACAAAACAGGTTCAGACAGCAATTCTCAAAACATCTGAAACAATATAATTCTTCCCCTGTCAATCCCTTCCCTGCTGCACACACAGCTACATCCACCACCACCTTCTCTTCCACAAAGTGTCTATGTGATAATCTGGAAGCTGGGCTGGCCTTCATCGGCTCAGCCCCAAGCCCTGGTTGAGCTTTGTGAAGACCTCTGGGAAACATGGCAAATGGGGCCTTCTTATGTGTGAATGCTATGGTGTCTTCTACTGTGTCATCATCTACATGCAGATAAGTGTCTATATGCTTCCCTAAAAGGGCTGTAGATTCTCTGCAGTCTTGGGCATATTTTCATCAATTGCTATCTTGCTTTGACAACTGAAAAACCCGATAGGAAGAACTGTATGTAGGGTGGTAAAAGGAATTCACATTTCCATTTTGTTCATTAAATTAATTGTAGCGTTATTTATTTGGCTACTGTTCAAAATTACAGAGATACATATACTGTATTGACCAATGATATACTTGAAAATATTTATTTTTTATAATTACGTCAGTGTCATTCAAAAGAAAGTTTTTTGTTAAATATGCTTTTAAAAATTCAAAGGGAAGAGAAAATTGATGAGTCTCACCAATATCTTGCTCCACTGAAGCATCTTCTCTACCAACATATGTCTGACCTTCCTGGAAAGAAAAGTTAAATAACATTTCTTAGAACAGGGGGCTTGCTTCTCCTCTCCTCACTAAAGCCAAGCAGCTTGACAGCTGATGGGATGGGCAAGCTGTGGGCAACAGATAGTCTCCTCGTAGAGAAGACTCACTGAGGCTCTGCTCAACAGCCCTAAGGCATGGAAATTGACAGTGCCACTCCCAAGGCTACTGCTCATCTATGGTTAAGCTTGCATCTGGCATGTGCCACCAGTGTCACTGATGTCCCTGATCCTTGCTGGAGAGGCTCTCTGCCCACGGCTGACTTCGTGTTGTTTCTGTTTGAAGATATGGTACATGGGAGGCCAGTACAGCATCATTCCAAGCTTAGGTCAGGAATCAGAGAGGACATTAAAATCAAGGTCACAGGCACAAGCATCAAAATGGAACTTTGCTTGCTGGACATGAGTAATCTACTCAGAACCAAATCTAGCAATAAATACAGGAGGCACAAACTTAAAATGACCATGAGGATCCAGGATGCACTACACACAACGAATTTCAGCTCTGGGCATTGTAACTTTTACTTCCTCTGTCTTTCTGCCTTTTTGTTCCCCGCTTTCTTCTTCCTTCTCTACAAAACAGAAGCAACTCATCATTTAGCTTTCAAACTACTGCACATGAACGTGGGAACTTCAAAAGAATCCCAATGAATTGTTGAAAACCCACAAAGGGCTTAAAGATTTTTTTATACAGTCTTTAATAGTTGTATTCATGGCCATAAAGTATTGTAATAAACCTTCCTAGTGTCTAAAGAGAAAATGGGAAACAAAATTAGAATGTTCCACTGAAGTAGGTCTTACCTTCAAGTGATATAGGATAATTCCAGTGCTCAGAAGGTCATCATCAATGCCAATCAGGTGAGGTAGTTCGGAATCCAAAACAACCCCAATCCCTTCCTTCCTAAGGGCTAGTGTCTGTTCCTATTTTAGAGAAAGGAGAAATGGCAAATGTTATTTGGGGGAAAGAGAACTTCATAGTAAAAAAATAATTTAAAATATTTCATTTATTTTGAAAATTCAAGAAAAATGAACACTAAGCTTCATGTTGAGATCCTGGAAGGTGGTAAGCAAAGTGAATATGGAAAATAAAAAAAGTTCAATACACAATGAATTATATAGCTTGATATATAACTTTTTCAAAGCCAATCTCAAAGGCCACTTTCCGCAGGAAAGACTTTAGGATTACCCACTACAAAGTAATCTTTCTTTCTTCTTCTAAACTTTTTACTTCACTTAAAATTCACAAGTTTCCTTGATTGCTGGCTTTTCTCACCCATTACCATAGTACAATGTGTATGTTCTTGAAAGCAACTCTCTGCTGTGCATTAGGCATCCTGGCATCAGAGGTATCTCTGTCTCCTGCATCACTGACCATTCCCCACTACTTACAAGTCTATTAGAGATCACCTACCAACAACCACTGCCCCCACCATCTCTGAGCATCTCCTGGCATCTCCCTCAGCTACCACCAATTTATGTGTGCCCTGTGAAAGAAAATCACTCAAAACATGAATCCCCAATTCCTTCCATCCCTTTAAACCTTCCATTGGGACTATCATCCTTAGGTCTCTGCCTAAACTCACCCCCTTGAAAAACCCATCTTGACTCACTTTACCTGCCATCCATATGCTGAGGCCTCTCAAAATCAGCAGAGAAGACCTCTTCTAAATCATATACTTATGCAAATATACCAGGAGTGTTCACTATCCCACCACTGGGACACAACACTGGCAATCTACGGGTGGTTGGCTCCAAAGCAGAAATAGTATGGTAAAAGGTTATAGCACAGGAAGGCTGTTCATTAACACAGCAGCCAGGAAGCAGAGAGATGAGGGAGGAGCAGCCAGAGAAAAAAATACATCCCTCCAGGTCACAGTCTCACATCTGACAAGATCCTGCCTCCTAACAGCACAATCAGCCATGAACTCACAAATGGATTATCTACTAATGATCACAACACCCTCATGACTCAAGCACTTTCCAAATACATGAGACTTTTGAGGAATATTTTAGATTTAGGCCATAACAATACCCACATAACTCAATAAACCTGTGTGGATGCCAAACAGTCAGCTCATCTTTAATACTAAAAATCACAACCCTGATGTACATACAGACTGGCCCACCACAGTAAACATCAACTTTCCAGCAGTTACTCAGACCAACATTCACGGCTATGATTCACTCCTTTTTCCAGCCTAAACCCTATATCCACAGCACTGATTCTCACCTTGAAAATATGGCCCACATCCAGTAATGTCAAGTCACCTGCACCAGTCTGCCCTGGAGCCAATCACAACCATCTTTCACAGTAATCTGGCCATCACTTATACCCTGTGATAACACAACACAGAAACCAGAGGATGTCACAGCATATTACTCCTCTGCTCAGATCTCTTAAGTGGCCTCCCATTTGACTGAGTTAAAAACCCAAACTCTTTCTGCTTCAAAAGCTTGACCAGACTCACTTACCAGCCTGCCCCCTCTCAGGACTTCATTCACTGCTGCTCCTTCTGCCTTAGTGTCATTCTATTCCTGCTCTTGCCTGAGAGCAGGGTCTCACAGTCAGCACTGTGACATTTATAACTCTTTACTCTTAGGCACTAATAGACACTTGGCATCACCCCTGGCCTCCATCCATTAGATGCTAGTAGCAAAATTGCCTTCCCCTAGGGTGGTGACAAACAAAAACATGTCCAGACACTGCCAAGTGTCTCCTGGGGGACCAAACAGGCCCCAGTTGAGAATCACTGCCTTCCCTACACACACATCATGGCTCATCACTTCTGTCAGTTTCTGTTCAAAGCCCCCTTTCCCATCCTCCATAGGGAACAGCAAGAACCAAGCTTCCTCATCCTCACCTGTCTCTTCCCTGTGGTCATTACACATGGTGTAGTCTGAACCTCAGTCCCATAACTGGGAAGGTACAGGCAGTGCAGGGCAAGGCAAGAAGCACACTCACTCAGAGCAACCCTCAGAGAGGAGCCTGGCAGAACTGTTTCTTAAGTCAGGCCCAACTGGCCCAGGAAAAAACACTTCTAATAGAAGGGGTTTAGGAGAGTTAAAGGTGAGAAGCAGACAAATTTGGGAAGAATAAAGGTGAGATTTTCAGTCTCAAGGTTGAGCTGTGCTGAGTTCAGCATGAGTCACACCCCAGAGCATGGCAATGTAGGAACAAGTTCCAAGCTGTAACCAGAGGGTTGCACGGAGCCATTCTTGGTGAATCTCCTCCTTCCCCTCCCATACATATCTCTGTATCAGTGCTACCGGAACATAACCACTATTCCTTATATTCCTGGTATGAACTAATGTTATTTTGATGTCATTCAGATATGCAAACAATGTACAGTCTACCACACTTTAGTAAAGGATCCAGAATTTTTCAAGTCAGTGTCAAAGAGGAACTGAAATCTTGCACACAAGGAGCTCCTAAGAGGTTCTGGCAAAGGACCATGAGGGGAGAAGAGTCCCTTAAGCCATCCTCTCTGCAGACCTTTAAGTCTCAAATGCATAGCTGCAGACCTAGAGAGTGAAGTGGCAGAAAAAAAAAAAAAAGATAGCTTAAAAAAACACATAGAAATCACCACTTGAAAGAAAGCAATTTAATTTAACAACCATTAAATAGCTACGCAGAGAAAATGACCGCTGCATAACTTAGATTCAAGAAAAGGAAATGAAGCATATCATTGTTCTTCAATTACTCCTTTTATCAGCCAGGCTCCTATTCCATGGCTCAGAACTTCAGGCTTTAAGGTGGGAGACTCAGTAACCTTGATTTACTACACCAAGGCCCTTGCAAATCTGCACTAAAATAAGCACTCTACATAAAACAACTCCTACTCCTACCACTCAGACACTGGTAGAATTCATGGTCTCCCTCCTGTCCATGGAATTCAAGCACAAGTAGAAAGTATGTGATTTCTCTTTTTAACGATATATATCATGGTGCAGAACTTAATCATACAGGTTTATTTCACAAAATAGTGTCCCCCTGGAAGGTGTGGTGGCTCTGGACTGTGACAGTGCTGCACACACAGGCAGCCCCATGCAATGGGCTGTTTCAGGCCTCTCCAAGTAAAAAGGAGAGTGACTATTTTCATAACTCTAGGGCCATATGTATTTTCTTTCTGTAAAAAAAAAGAGAGAGAGAAAGATAATAAGTTTCCCTCCTCTCCAAAAAAAAAAAAAAAAAA